TTAATCATTAAATTATCTCATTGAAGTTCAACTCAGGTGCTCTTACTAAACAGAGCGTCTAACAAAATGCATATGCCTTAGGTTCTCTTACAAGTCATTGATCCATCAGTGTCAAGGGCGCGCTCCTTAAACATGTACCGTGATGAAGTCAACTCTTTGGTGTTGGCACACTTGCAAAACATGGAGCAGCTATGTAGGGTGATTTTGTTACCTTCAAAGATGTTCCTGCATTTTGTTTGCATATGTGATTAATTCTCATTTCATATCTAGTAATCATAGTTTCCTAAATATAGTAATTTCTTTGTGTATTGGAAAAAAATGGTACTATATACCCTTTTTTCGGAAAACCAAAATACTAAATATACAGTACTTAAAATAATGCCATCTAGTAATGCCTTACTCAATGGTCAACTATGCTTGTCTGTTTCCATCGAATGCTCCTATTTTAACGCAGGCTTCGCTGGACGAAATGTATTTCCCAACGAAAAATTCATTAATCGCAATACATCCATGCATGAAAATGACTCAAAACTTTTTTTAGTGGATCACTCCATTCTTTGCAAAATGCGCGTGGTTAATGTTTTTCTCCTCACAGATACTCTAATGCAAGTTGTAGAAAGTTGATATTGACTTTAATTATTTATTTATAAAATACTTTTGTTTAAAAATAAATAAATAAAAACCAACTCAAGAAGCAAGAAGGGGCGGAAGGTATTCCTCGTGGCCAGCTACCCCCAAACCCATTCCAAATTAATCAATCTTATTTGTTGAGCAATCCCATGTGCATGTATGCCACGCTTAAGCTTGTAAGTAGTAAAGAAATTTTACTCGAGCAAAAAATTCAAACAAGCTTTTCGACTTCCGTCATTGATCATAACTTTTTTAGTTAATTGTCAGTCAACTTGTTTGCGTAGAAATCTACCCAAAGAGAGCAACCGAAAGTCAAGCGTAAAATTGTGAGTTGTGACGTACCGTTTGTCCTTTGGTTTTTATTTTTATTTTTATTTTTTTGTATTTATAGATAGTTAGGTACTTTGAATATTTTTTTTTATACTTTAAAATTAATATCTTCTTAAATTATCTGTAAACTGCACCACACATAAATCTAATATATTAAAAAATTAATTTTTTTAAATATTTGTCCTTAAACTTAAATTTGTATTGACGTACTCACTTAGCACATAAAAATTATAGAATATTCAAAATTATATCATAAAGTTGATTTTTCTATCTTATAATAATTATCATGTTAAATGCATGAATCTAGATAACAAAACCTATCCGGCAGTAACATCCTTGGAAGTCCTTAAATTTTAGTACATGAACAAACAGACCGGCTTTTACTCGCAGCAACCGGCCTACCTCATATCGTCACTAGCTATGAATTTCTACTTTTTTTTCCCAAGTCCAAACAAGATTTAGCTAGCTTTAGTATAGTGTGGTAGAGATGGAGAAAAGGTGTCTGTAAATATAAGATTTTGTTTTTTGTTTTTTTTCTCTTTTTTTTTTCTTTTTTTTAATTTAAGAATATAAATTCTGTTAATTTTTAAATAAAATAGTAAATTTTTAACTTTTTTATTTAGCTAAAATCTCTTATTAATTA